ATAATCTGTGATTTTCATTTTTCTACTTCAGGTGGATTTTGGCAACTAGTTTGTGGTTTTCATGTTTATTTGGCTGTAGTTTTTCTTCAGTTTAGTTTTAATATCTTTATTCCACTTGCTATTGATTTGCCTTATTAAGTGATAATATTTTTTTGTTTATTATAATTATATTTTTACACTATTATTTTCTTTTATTTTTGCTTCTAGTATTTGTCCTGACCCACAGGACGGTCAACATGGGTACCTGGAGGGAGGAGAGGGGACTGAAAGGGACAAGAGACACGAAGAATGGAGACAAGACAGGCTTTCTGATCAAGTCTCATTTATTGAACATCTACACAAAGTTTTTATAGAGAGGAAAGGAGGAAGTTGGCAGGGATAAATCTATTGAGGCAGAGCAATTCTATTAACAGAACAATTATCATAATAACACCACACCAATTGATCACAGAGTAAATTCCATAGTAACACCACAATTCTATATAGCAAGTTATGAATCAATTATAAGGTTACACCTGCATGATTACAAGGTAATACAAAGAGGTTTTCTAAGGAGTTCCATGAGAAATGAGGGAGTCTCTCAAGCAATAAGTGCCCAAGTTAGAATAACATGTTTGTGTGAGGCTTTCAAGTATAGTCATCTGGTTAATCTCAAACCAGGTCAGCCTTGACGTCTGGAAACAGCTTTGCCAGGAACCAGGTCTTGTTATATTCTGGGGTGGGGGCCTACGGCTCTCCACAGATGTGTAGTTGGTAAAGATTTTCTCTCACTCAGTGGGATTCCACTTCCACTCCTTAGTTGTTTCTTTTGCTCTACAGAAACTGTCATGGGCCAAAACAGCTGCTTTGGCTGTCAGCCTGCCTTAGGTTGCTATCAGTGAGATCTCCTCTTACCCATCTTTGGCTATCCGGTTTAGCTCTCAAGGGGACGACTGAAGCACGTCGTCATGTGGCCTTTCAGGCTCATAGGGGTCTTCCCGATCTTTAAGTGCAAGCCTGAGATAATGTATTTGAATTGGCTTTGTTGTAAGATCATCAATCTGACTTTTAATGAAGGTGTTAACTTTTACCCCAACCTGTGCTCTGTGTTGAGGTTAGACAGAGCCTAAGTCCCCGTACAAGCAAACAAAAGGACCCTAAGGGGACAAACAGTGTACAGCACGGAAGGGCATTATATAAATGATTAAAACAATGGTGCACAAAGCATGTGGAACAATTAATGAATCATGGAGAAGATCATAGTATCACAGGCAAAGTCGAGAGAGAATGATGGGCGCCAGGCAGTGGAAGCAGTCCATAGGAAACACGAACAGAGTCCAAAAACCCAGTCCAAAAAATTGGGAACACAGGATGTGATGATGGATGGTGTAGTGATGACACAGGTGGCATAGAGTCTGGGGATGTTGTAAAGCGGATGAGGCATTTAGGTACCCAACATGCATTGTCAGCATTCTGTGGAAAAAACATAAACATGCCCTCTCCCCCAAATGAGGATAAGGGAGGATGTCACAATTTATCAGCTGTAGAGTTACCTAAAGGTGAAAACAAAGAGGGCAAGAGGAAGCACAAAGACAGTTAGTTTGGTAGCGGTGACTGGAAACTGTCAGGAGCATAATTTATAGTGCCTTGACCCTGTGGAGCAAAAGAGGTACGTATGTACCAAGCAGGTGTCCAAGGTAACATACAAGAAACAAAATGACAAAAGAGGGAGGACACACACCTTAGTTTTAGAACATTTAAGAGTAACATAAACATGGGTTGTCTAAAATGTATCCATGGAACAACGTGACAACAGGCAACCATGGAGATACAAACATACTATTTAAAGTGAGACAAACAAGACAAAAATAATTTATAACTAATATCAGTAACCCAATTTTGTAAGTTTTATAGTGTGTTAATGTTTTATTTTTGACATCTATTGTAAACTCATGGAACCTGGAAAAGAGCAAAACAGAGTTGTAGCTCCTGTCACGAACTACCTGTTGTTCTAAGACTCATCATAAGCAGCTCCTGCCACAAGCCACCAGTTCAGAGTATTCCTCACAAGCTATTTCTACTACAAAGCACTGTGTTGTCGAGAAAGACCACAGAAAGACAAATTTTAAAACTGTCATTTTTTACACATCATTTACATAGAGCCGTGCCAGGCTTAGACTGAGAGAAATTTGTTCAATGGTACCATCAAACTAAATTGAAACAAAACATGTTGGGAATGAGACCCAATGCAGATCTGCAAAAGGCACAGTGTCAACATTGCATGGGCACGCCTGATTTACGTCCAAAGCATCACTGTGCACAGCCCTGGTCAGCGTCCTGAGCAGCTCTCCAACTGTTTTTTTGATTAATTACAGTATGCCTGTTTTTACAGTTTTATCATATGATTAATTTAGATTAGGTCCCCCTGTCAGGAACCCAAGGAACCAACCCTTGAGGTGGAAGCCTTTTTAACCAAAGAGAATCTTGCATGCCGAGGCACTAAAACATGCAAGCCGCTTTCAGTTTTTCTCACAGAGTCAGACGGTTAGTCTGAACCTGGAGAATTCTCAAGAACAGAAGTTTGTGAGAACTAGCATGAGTCTGAACAGAAAGGACCAGTTTCTGCCCTGAGTCAGCTTCTTACATTTTTAGTCTATACTATATTAGTTTGAAACAGCAAGTAAGAGACATTAGGCAGAAAACACCTTTTAGATCTAAAGAACAGGATTAAGTCTGAAGTGAAAGGGGCACAATTTCCCTCCAGAGTTAGCTGTTAGCATATTCAAGCAGCCTAGGTTTTCAGAAATCATAGTATACATCATACAAACACTTAAAATATTTACACAAACATTTGCCAAACTCTTTTCTTCAGGAGGCAGAGGACCAAGAAACCTTGCTGCCAAGGCTTCTATGTGTATTATTACAGTTAGGAATGGCAACCATTGTTGATGCCCACTGGGGCCTGAGAATTATGTTGAAAAGCATTGTTATGGAGCCTCTCAGGCATAGCCTGAGACTGGCTTCTCCTCTCGCCTTTTTTTTTTAATCAAGATATTTTTATTTTATTTAATAATTAGTATCTGTCAATCTGATTTGCTAAAGCAATAAAAATAACACTTAGCAATTTAAAAGTCTTGAATTCTAGTTTACTAAAATATCTCAAAGACAAAGAATATTTCCAACTTATACAATGAATTGCACAGGCTAGAAACCGAGACCTTACATAGACTCACACTGGCTGTCTCAGTTTCAGACACAGTCACAGTGAATACAGAACACAAGAATCATATTTTAAATGTCAAAGACTGGGAAAACAAGCGCTGCAGGACGGGGAAAGCGCACCTTGCAAGGAATGTTTACTTTTAACTGATAGGTCTTGAAGACCCGCAAGCAGTTCTTGCTTTTGTTGTTCTAGGGCTAGCTGTTCTTTTAATAGAGCCACTTCATTCTTAATTGGGTAACGAGGGTAGAAGTGGGGAATGCCTTGAGGGCAGGTAAAACTGTTGGGAGAGGATAAGGAGGGGGCATGGAACAAGCCTCAAAAGGAGCCATGGACGCAGTGCCAGACTGGAGTATTGTGACATCAGTGATGACTTTAGGGTTAGGCTCTGATTTAACATTTTTAGGATTTGAAATCTTAGAACATGTCTCGGGTGACGTTTCCTCATCACTGTCAAGGGAGATAAGGTCTATCTCCTTAGGGGGAATTATTTTATCACTGGGAGGCTCCTGAGGGGTGCCTTGTAGGAGGCCTGAAGTTTGCTTTATGGCAGCCTCGGTGGAGGATTCATTTGAATCTATTAATTCCCTGATTAAGTTCCAGTAGGAAAAGGCTGTAACAGGAATTTTCTCGGGTCCAAAGACCTTATAATAATCCTCTAAAGCATTTTTTACCCTTTTCCATCCTTTAATATCTATTATTCCTTCTTGGGGAAACCAAGGACAGGTTTCCTTAATAAATTCAAAGAACCTCAATAGATCCTCTATTTTAACCTTTACTCCTCGCATCCGTAAGGCATCCTGCAATTGCCGAACATAAATTTCGTGCCTGCTTAATTCTTGTCCCATAATCAGACGCCAGTACTTACTTCTGGTTGTAGCCGAGGCAGGTTCCCTCGGCGACTCCAGAGTGAAAATTGTTGTGGAACGTGACTTGGGGACGCCTTCTTCCCTCACTGGATCCTCCGTATCCAGCCCTCACGCTGGGCGCCAGATGTCC